CCAGATGTTTGAGTCTGATCAAACAAAGATTTTTTTGACGTAATTACCCACCGTCGGGGTTTGACTATTACATCATACCTGATTTATGATTCATTTCTGTATACGTTTAAAATTTTGTTGTTTTAGAATTGAACACTTTTATTTCTAAATATAAATAAATAAAGATAAATATTTTACTAACAATCACGCCACGTTAACTGGTCCCGTGATAAGTTCGTAAAGAACTTGTGTTACAGGTACCAGATAACGGAAATAAATGTAAGATTTTTATTATACACATACATATATTTAACATACATCCATAACCCTGGAAAAGACATTTATATTTATCATACAAATATCTTCCCTTGGCGGGATTCGAACCCGCGACCCCCTTGTGTAGTGACCATGTCACTTACCACTACACCAGACGGCCGTTAAAGTTCCGTTCTAAGAATTCGTTTCAGCGGTGTTTTTTCTTTAAATGTTGATTGAATATTTTTTGCATTGACAACTATTATTTGATCGACTTTTTTTTTTTCTGTGCACTAGTATTATAAATTTAGTGTAAATATCTACACTTAATTACTGTATTATTTCCCGGAATGCACTTATTCAGTCACATACATAAAAATCTTGTTTGTTTTTTTGTCGAACATTATCTCGATTTGGCAATCACTATAGCAGTTTTGCAACGATNTCAAGCTCAGTTTCGACTCACCGCAAACTTCGAGCAGCACTGGCACTTGCAAGCTAATCTCAGCACGGACAACGCTAACTAAATGACACGACCTCCGGTCTCGGAGGGGAGTGATGTGGCGGGTAGCCATCATACAACGCAAGATAATTGACAGATGCCTGAATCTCGCTTACGACATTTTCAAGATAAAGCGCATATATACAAGTTCCGAACAACAACATTCGGACCGTCGGTCTACCGAGCAATATCATCCGCTCGGTGGAAGATCTTCCCTTTGTCGTACATCTCCCCAAAGTATGTTTTTATTATTTTAATTTTTTCATTAAAACAAAGAAGTATACGTATTCTATATGTATATCTTTACTTCTATACTATAATAATATTATAAAGAGGAAAGATTTGTTTGTTTGTTTGTTTCGAATAGGTTCCGAAACTACTGGACCGATTTGAAAAATTATTTTTCCATTAGAAGCCGACATTGTCCCTGATGAACATAGGCTACTTTTTTTTTTATTTTTTTTAATTTTTTTTTTGGTTTCATGTGTGTTTTAATGTTCCGAAGTGAAGCGAGGGCGGGTCGCTAGTATATTAATATACACGTACTCGACCGGTGGATGTAAGCGTGAAGCGTAATTGAAAAACGCCACAATACAACCTATGACGTAAACTTCACGCCTGATGTTTTGTTCGAATAACTTTTATGAACATACAATTGTCGTAATTCAATGTAAAAGGAAATATACAAAAAAGTAATTAAACAATGACGATATATCTATATATTAATACGTGAAGCAAAAACTTTGTATCCCTTTTTACGAAAATTGCGCGGACGGAGGATTATGAAATTTTCCACACTTATAGAGGAGAATATAGAGAAGAAGTGCACAATGCTAATATTTTTTAAAAATAATGCATAAAAGATACATTAAATCAATAAAGAAAACATTACACACACTACATACCATGTATTTGACGCACACACGCATGCATATTATTTATTGTCAAACTTTTGTGGTTGACGTCTGTTGTCAAATTGAGAATAAATTAAATATTGTTTGTCTTTGTTAATATTTTTTATAGTGTAGTCTTGGCGAAATTTGGATTATAGAAGTATAAAATACAATCATAATAGTGTACAAACTTACAATTCCAATTGATTATATTCGAATTTCGACTACTGCGGGACCTCTAGTTAATATAAAAGCTTGTGGATTATGAAAATAATGTATTTTTAGACTTTTCGAACGTCCCTTTTTTTTTTATAAATACAACTGCATCTATCTTTCAAGTGTCTCTCTAATGGCGGCCGATGAAAAGTAATACACGCTTTTTACAAATACATTTCTTGCTATGGTTAAAAGCGACTGATGGCATGCATATGACTTAACAGTATTGGCGGCCAAATTTAGACAAAATTAATTTGTAAAATAACTGTGGCTTCGCGATCACGCTTGAAGGCGTCGTGGCCTAAAGGATAAGACGTCCGGTGCATTCGTATGTAGCGATGCACCGGTGTTCGAATCCCGCAGGCGGGTACCAATTTTTCTAATGAAATACGTACTTAACAAATGTTCACGATTGACTTCCACGGTGAGGGAATAACATCGTGTAATAGAAATCAAACCCGCAAAAAATTATAATTTGCGTAATTACTGGTGGTAGGACCTCTTATGAGTCCGCACGGGTAGGTACCACCGCCCTGCCTATTTCTGCCGTGAAGCAGTAATGCGTTTCGGTTTGAAGGGTAGGGCAGCCGTTGTAACTATACTGAGACCTTAGAACTTATATCTCAAGGTGGGTGGCGCATTTACGTTGTAAATGTCTATGGGCTCCACTAACCACTTAACACCAGGTGGGCTGTGAGCTCGTCTACCCATCTAAGCAATAAAAAAAAAAAAGATCATTGAGTCGTTTTTTTTATGACGGATATAGATCGTTTGGTTGAAAAAGAAATACAATCGGTTCGAACAGTAGCAGATTTAATGATTACTCCCAACGAAGCTTAGCAATATAAATAGAAAACTATTAAGCTTAAAAAAAGCATAAGAAATAGCAAAGAATTCTTCATGGATCCCAAAATTTTAATTGATCTAAATTGTAATACCGTCTCCTGGCGCCAGTCGTAGTTCGTAAATTAACAATTTTTTTCTTTACTTTTCGGTTGGCACAAAATTCGAAAAGTAATTTCCATTTTTTTATTGTAGTATTGTGGATCGATGCCTTCGAAATGTGGTGCTAGAGGAGGATATTGGGTATTCCCTGGACCGCACGCCGCACCAATGTATCCATCCTAGCTCAGTTGAAGATCTGGACTAGACTCTCCACCATTTGCATGCGAAGGATACTTGAATACTTGGGCCACATCGCAAGGAAAGACAGTGACAACTTGGAGAAATTGGTGGTCACTGGAAAGGTCGAGGGCAAGCGACCAAGAGGCAGGAACCCGACCCGTTGGACGGACCAGATTCGTGCAACCCTGGATACCACAGTGCACGATGCTCTGCACTCAGCTGCAGATAGAAACAGATGGCGGTGCACTCCACGACCACGACCCTCAGCAATGAGGAAACCGACGCAAGGAGGAGGGTGAGGTGTTCTGCAGGGGCGTTGCCCGACCGAAATTGTACATGAATTTACAACAACAAAACAATTGTCCGATACATCAGTCCGCGTGGATAGCCACGTCCGAACCAGTGCCCGTCAACCATTGAGAGAACAAACGTTTGGTGGGGTATTAGCCATGAAGGAGTGACTGAGCCATACTTTTGTGAAAAAGGTATCAAAACACCGGCACAAGTGTATCAAGATACCATTCTTGAGAACGTAGTGAAGCCCCTTAACAACACCGTGCATTCCAGCAAGACTCGGCGCCAGGTCATAAAGATCGGTCTACGCAGTCTTGGTTGGAAACGAACGTTTCGGACTTCATCAGAGTTGAAGACTGTCCGTCGTCTAGGCCTGATCTTAATCCGCTGGATTATGATTTATGATCAGTTTTAGAGAGTACGGCTTGCTCTAAACGTCATGATAATTTGGAGTCCCTAAAACAATCCGTGCGATTGGCAGTGAAAAATTTTCCCATTGAAAGAGTGTGTGCTTCTATTGATAACTAGCCTCAACGTTTAAAGGACTATATTGCAGCCAATGGAGACCATTTCGAATAAGCTTTTTATACTTTAAATTGTTTTATATTTATGTATTAAACTAACACACTATAAAAGTAATAAATGTTATTTGTAATAGTATTTTATTTTTCCTTTGTCTCAGTTATTATGGCAATACTAGGTATATTCATATGCATGTATTAAAAATCGGTTATTTTAATATTACAAACAGACACTCCAATTTTATTTATATGTATAGATTATTTCGGACGTTTTGGATAAAGCTTACAGTTTTTTGAGGTCACGGACGACTCAGACGTTCAATGCTGGCCTGGATTGCTGACGTCCACGAGCCATGCTGATCATCAAATAATCCGTATACTCATCTGACTGTTTAATAGTATCAACATTGATTGGTTGTTTTTTTTACAGATATGCATGTAGTAAAAAGCGCCTATATCAATATTACAAACAGACTCTCCAATTTTATTTATATGTATAGGTTGCTAGCGGCCCGCTCTGGCTCCGCTCGGGTCTTTAACAAAAATTTCAACTATATTTGACGTTGATTATTTTTTAAAATAAAATAACACTTATTGCGGCATAACTATAATAGTTAGACATGTGCTGTCGCGACACTTTTTGTAAATAATAATGTGTTCTACAAAGTCGTAGTACATTATTTTATTCTATCATCAAGAGTTTTCGCAGGGCACGCGATGTAAAGAATATTTTAGGTAATTTTTTTACACCTTGTGTTACATTATTGCAGTTTTAGTAAGGATCCCTATTTTTTTTCCAAAAAAGATTATAGCCTATGTCGCTCGGGAATAGTGTAGCTTTCAAACAGTGAAAGAATTTTTCAAATCGGTTCATTAGTTTCGGAGCCTATTCGATACAAACAAACAAACAGATCTTTCCTCTTTATAATATTACTAGCGACCCGCCCTCGCTTCGCATCGGAAACATTAAAACACACATGAAAACAAAAAAAAAAAAAAAATTAAAAAAAGTAGCCTATGTTCATCAGGGACAATGTCGGCTTCTAATGGAAAAAGAATTTTTCAAATCGGTCCAGTAGTTTCGGAGCCTATTCGAAACAAACAAACAAACAAATCTTTCCTCTTTATAATATTATATAGTATAGATATATCCTCTTTATAATATTAGTATAGGTAGTATAGATATTGTGTGTAGTATTTAATTTTTTTACTCACCCGAGCACGATGGTTGTCCTACACAACATAATTATTTCAAACTGAAATTATTTATTACACGCGGAGCACGCCTCAAGCCATCGACGCGACGGAGCGAAGCTATAATTGTCGGAAAACGCTTCGGCTCTGCGATCTTTATAGATGAATCGGGCGATTGAGTGGTTTCTGTTCATGTTTCGTGCGCATAAACACATACACCTGATCTTACAAAAAAAAAACAGATACCGCGTACTTAATAAAATTTCACATAGCTCTTTATGTAAAAAAAACCATCGAAGCAATAAAAAAATAAATAATTTTTTTTTTTTTTATTGCTTAGGTGCGTGGACAAGCTCATAGTCTACCTGGTTGTTAAGTGGTTACTGGAGCCTATAGACATCTACGACGTAAATGCGCCACCCACCTTGAGATATAAGTTCTAAGGTCTCAAGTATAGTCACAACGGCTGCCCCACCCCTCAAACCGAAACGCATTACTACTTCACGGCAGAAATAGGCAGGGTGGTGGTACCCACCCGCGCGAACTCACAAGAGGTCCTACCACCAGTTCACCATAAGTTCTAAGGTCTCAAGTGTAGTTACAACGGCTGTCCCACCCTTCAATCCGAAACGCAACTTAGGCTAGGCTTTTTTTAGACTAGCCTATTGTCGTACCGCGGGTAGCATCGTGGGACTCGGCTAGTCTTAAATATATTTGGCAGTGTCATAGAAACTGCTACACAAAACATACGTATTTAATTTAAAATAGTAAGTCACTCAATTAAGACGATCTATTGAGGTTCGCGGGGATCCGCTGGATGCAGGCAGCGCAGGACCGATTTTTGTGGCGAGGCTTGGGGGAGGCTTATGTTCAGCAGTGGACGTCCATGGGCTGACAAGAAGAAGTCACTCAAAACACAACCGTATCACCTCAACATTAAATAACGTTTTTATCACTCTCTGAATTAAATCTTAAATTAATATTTACAAAAATGTATTTATGTAAAAAAAAACAAAAGTTGACCAATCGTCAAATGCACAAAGAACAATCCAAAGTCGCTACACCTCGAAGGAGGTTTAAAAGTAAATGTTCTCACGATACCGGGGCTTTTCAGTATTGTCTGTTTCGTACTAATTCGTTTGGTTAACAAAACGAACGAGCTTGCGTTAAGAAACTAATATGGTTTTTAAGACCCTTTATATACGTGTTTTTAATTCAGCGATTTTTGAAGTTATACTTCTTTAGGCGCGTTATGAAAAATTGATGAGAGTGAAATTTTACGATGCGCGTGCACCGTGACGCAAAATTAACAGAATGAAGTTGCCCACTAAATCGCTCATTCCAATACGACCGACGTAACTTGGCGAGTCTGAATATAGCCGCAGGTGAACTTTCCGAACCGTACCGAGAATTACCGAATTTATACGATGTCAAGACAAAAGGATGTCCAATATGCGTGTTTGAGGATGTTGTTTAATCGATTTTTTTATTTTTTCAAATTGATTAAAATTTAAATAAAAAAAAAATTATATATATATAAAAATAAAGTATAACTTCTTACGCGCGTACATAAGTACACGCACCCTTTTTTATAGCGCTAGTTGCGTAGACGAATTACTGTTCCACCAGTGTGTTTAGTGCGAGTTTCTTAACGTTCTCGATAGCGTAAAAGTTAACCCAATATTGTATGCAGTTGGAACAGCGCCCCTAGCGGCAAACGTACGCAAACGATCCCATTCCATACAAATATGAGTTAACTTTTACGTTATCGAGAACGTTAAAAAACTCGCACTGAGCACACTGATGTTTAATAGCTAATGGATATAGGTCGACGAGAGGGAAGCAGGTAGGCAGCGGTTTAGCTCCATCCCTGCCATTGCTAACATTCACGAGTGACGGTAACCACTCACAATCAAGTGGGCCGTACGGTCATCGTCTGCCTACATCATTCATAATTCATTCTCCTGCCCTTCTCCCAGACACCTGGGGTCGGCGCAACATGTTTTCTCCTTCCATACTCTTCTATTATATACTGTAGGGGAATGATACCCCGCCCCGCTTAGCTTACTATGCAGTTATTGTGCATATAGTAATGAGCAGCATATGTTAGTCAGTCAGTGGTCAACGTGCAGCGATCCACCGCGGTCGCTGACGCGAATAAAAATGTAATTATACGTAGTGTTTTAATGACCGCTCCGATGAGGCTTATGGAGGACAACACGCAACAAACAACCAGCGCACACGCCTCCTCCATGTCTTCTCCCTATAAACCTCACACTGATTTGCCCGACGTGATCGTGTATAATATTTTCCTCCTCAGTCTTCTCCATAAAACCTCACACTGGTGACCCCGACGTGATTCGCCCGACTTGATCGTGAAGCATATTTTTGGTGACGATGTATCCGGCTCAGCACGTGGGTGGCGCGCTCATTACGCAACCGCTTGTGGCGCCTTTACCGCGAAACGAAAAACTTCAGCTACTGCAATTTCCCGCATTCTCGCAGTTAAAAACAAGTCATCGAAGTCGTCCCACAGCAAGCTAGCATTGCAGCCTCAATAGGACCATTGCAGCCGACTCACCGCGCCTCCTGGTCCTACGGCATGCATTTTCACTGCCTCATCACGCCGCTGCAGTTCATCGCAGCCCGCGACCGGATCATCGACGTTTGAGGTCACACATCCCCGGCGTGGCAGCTCTGCACACATGGACTACTCACGGTACTGACGCAGCATTCAAGCTCAGTCTCGACTCACCGCAGACTTTGAGCAGCACTGCCACTTGCAGGCTAATCTCAGCACGGACAATACTTACTTAATGACACGACCTCCGGTCTTGTAGGAGAGTTTTGAGCAAGAGAAACTGTTTTTTTTTTTAATTTTGAAGTATCATCTAATGGCATTCGTCCTCTAAATTTCGAAGAATTAGCGGATTGTCAAGCGAATGATGTCACGCTTGTGCAACTATTGCAGAATTATAAAATAAAGTTGAGAAAAGTAGTTATGCCTAATTGTAGCAAACCTATTTTTGGCGAAATTTCTGCAGAGAAGTTGCAACCGTAGATACTCGTAGTAACGCTTGAGCAGCATATTTGCCCGGAGCCAGCGCTGCTGACACTGCTCGTATGACACGGTGCGGCCGTATAGTTAGGAGGCCCGAACGTTTCAGTGAGTAGGCGAAACACACGACATACTTTATATTTAATTTTGTCATTAAAGCATATTATTATAATTTTGTTATTATAGCAATATTTTTTGTATTTAGGTTAATATGTTATTATGTTGCAAGTTTATAACATTTTTTGCTTGACAGATAAATCAACTTTTTACGTATGGATATTTATTTCACTTATTCAACAGCAATGCAGCAAGCTCAAGCAAACTATGCCTAAATATGTAATAGGAATATTTTATTGTGTTAAGCTTTATTTTGTGTTTACCTCTTTATCTTGTGTATAACTTTATTGTATTGAATCGAAATATGTGTTAACTTTAAGATTTTAATTTTTTTTTCAAATATAGAGGGGGTGTAGTGTAGGGGAATTATGCCCCGCCCCGCTTAGCTTACTATGCAGTTATTGTGCATAGGTATAGTAATGAGCAGCATATGTTAGTCAGTCAGTAGTCAACGTGCAGCGATTCACCGCGGTCGCTGACGCGAATAAAAATGTAATTATACGTAGTGTTTTATTGACCGCTCTGATGAGGCTTATGGAGGACAACACGCAACAAACAACCAGCACACACGCCTCCTCCATGTCTTCTCCCTATAAACCTCACAATACCATTTCTTCGTTCACTCCCTTCTTAGCCATATCGTCTTTCACGCAGTCCATCCATTTCTTCTTAGGTCTACCTCTTCCTCTATATCATTCCACATTCATAGTTAGCATTCTCTTACCAACCTCATTTTCATTTCGTCTCATCACATGTTCATACCATCCCAAACGCGCACTTCTCAGCTTCTCTGTCACAGGTGCCATTTTCAGACTTCCTCTAACATATTCATTCCGTATTCTATCCATTCTCGTTACTCCACACATACATCGCAACATTCGCATCTCTGCTGCATGCATGCATCGTCTGTCTACAATGACAATAAAGAAATCACACGTTCTACCCTAAAAAGAAGTAGGGGTACGTTTAACTACCACACAACTTCATTTAGTGACGTTTACCCATTATTTGCTGACGTCCATTAGCGACAGAACCCACTCACCATTAGGTGATCTGTATGCTCATTTATATACCAAGGAAAAAAAGAAACTTGAAGACCGAGACCAGCTTTTAACGATTGTCTAACCTTCATAACCGACCTGGTTCCTTCGCGGATTGTAGTCGTCCAATCGCGAAATGGGAAAGCGTCTGGGCCTTGTATTTTTTGTTTCATCACGTCTTTGGTAGCGGGGTTAGTGACCTGTCCCACTAGCATCGAATTCCTGTTGGAGACCTGTTTTCGCAAGATATAAATACGGGAATGTCCAGGCTTTGTTTATAAGACACGCTCGTACTAGTGGTCCAGCAGTAGTCGAAATTCGACTATAATTCATTGAAATTATAAGTTTGAACATTATTATGGTTCTATTGTCAAATACTATTTATTATATTTCTATAGTCACAGATTTCGCCAAGACTACACTGTAGACAAATATTCGTATTATTAAAGATAAACAATATTAATCTATTCTCAGTTTGACCACAGACTTTAAGCAATAACAAAAGTTTGACAATAAACATATAGTATATTTATATATGTGTGTTGTGTCAAATACATGGTAGTGTGTGTAATTTCTTTATTGATTTAATATATTTTTAATGCATAATAAAAAAAAATATAGCATTCTGCACTTCTCTATATTCTCTATAAGTGTGGGAAATTTCATACTCCTCCGTCCGCGCAATTTTCGTAAAAAGGGGTACAAAGTTTTTGCTTCACGTATTAATATATAGATATTTTTAACTAGACGCGTCTCGCGGACTTCGCCTCTGTAACATTTGTAATTGAGAAAGAATGATAAACGTTTTCCTGAAATCTAGATTTGTTTTTTTTTACCTGCCTATACTGGTAACTTCGAGGGGTTATAGCAGCTTCATTTAGCGTGTAGACTCGATCTGGCGAATTTGCTAACACTAGACCTAGTAAGAGCAGTGCTTCACTCAATCTTTTTTTTTTTATTGCTTAGATTGGTGGACGAGCTCACAGCCCACCTGGTGTTAAGTGGTTCGTTAGTCAATCGTGAACATTTGTTGAGTACGTATTTCATTACAAAAATTGGTACCCGCCTGAGATTGGAACACCGGTGATCGGCCGACGACTTCAATCTACTACCGGATCGAAAACGCGACCCACTTAGTGGATCCGACGAGAAACTCAGCGGGCTATACAGGTTTGATCTTTCGTTTTGTTCCATTAACTGCCAGACGATTTTAGGAGTCACACACATGAACACACATTGCCTTGAAAACAACAGACGCGGGTGATTTAACGTGATTTAATTATGAGCTTGCTTTAAACTTTCACAATTGAGATTGATGGATGGTATTTACGTCAATATGAATTGTGTTCAAATTCGGTTGAATATGAATCCATTAATAACGTAATATTTTATTATACTTTATTGTATGACACACATTCACACACACACAAACACAGACACACACACATATATCGCTCTTCCTGGTTATCTTACTTACCTGGTGACCTAGCACTGAACCACTGACTTTTGTAACACTGGTAGCATAAAAGTCAGGGAATATTGTTATTGTATACCTCATAAAAAAGCCATGTATATTATTATACTAGTGTTAAGAATTCTTGTAGGTACGTGTTTGTTTTTAAGAGGCTTGAATAAAATATTATTATTACTAGTGGCCCCGCAGTAGTCGAAATTCGACTATAATTAATTGAAATTATAAGTTTCAACATTATTATGGTTATATTGTCAAACACTATTATCATTCGATAATATAATCACAGTATTCGCCAAAACTGCAATCAATAATATTAAAGACAAACAATATTAATCTATTTTCAATTCGACCACAGACTTTAAGCAATAACAAAAGTTTCCCAATTGACAGAAAACAAAGAGTATATTTTTATGTATGTGTTGTGTCAAATACATGGTAGTGTGTGTAATGTTTTCTTTATTGATTTAAAGTATCTTTTATGCATTATTTAAAAAAATATTAGCATTGTGCACTCCTTCTCTATATTCTCTATAAGTGTGAGAAATTTCATACTCCTCCGTCCGCGCAATTTCCGTAAAAAGGGGTACAAAATTTTTGCTTCACGTATTAATAGATTATTATTAAACCAGAACAAGAGGCAGGAGCGTCATCGAACAGCGTATTGACGTCAATTACGATGAATCTCGGCCGACTAAAAGCCCCAGTGGTGTTCCAAGAAATTTGTTTTGGAAACCATTTAAATATGCATCGCCCCATCCATCAGCTGTTTCAAAGGAAACGTACACACGGCTAAAGCATGTTCACGAATGCTATACCACGATGAAGGACTACTAATCGAACAATAAAAATAAAATCCTTGAAATCATTAGGTTTGCGTTCTTTTTATTGCTTAGATGCCCACAGCCCACCTGATGTTAAGTGGTTACTGGAGCCCATAGACATCTACAACGTAAATGCGCCACCCACCTCGAGATATAAGTTCTAAGGTCTCAGTATAGTTACGACGGCTACCCCACCCTTCGAACCGAAATGCATTACTGCTTCACGGCGGAAATAGGCGGGGTGGTGGTACCTACCCGTGCGGACTCACAAGAGGTCCTACCACCAGTGATTACGCAAATTATAATTTTGCGGGTTTGGTTTTTATTACACGATGTTATTCCTTCACCGTGGAAGTCAGTCGTGAACATTTGTTGAGTACGTATTTCATTAGAAAAATTGGTACCCGCCTGCGGGATTCGAACACCGGTGCATCGCTTCAACACGAATGCACCGGACGTCTTATCCTTTAGGCCACGACGGTTAATTGCGGGTAGGTGTTGTTCAGCTTGGAAAGCTGCGTAACCATTTTTATTGTTAAATAAAAAATTGTTCGACGTAAGCGCCTTAGAGTCTGGCCACCCGTGTCTGCTCCCAGTCCTTCTCTACCCTTCGGGGTTAGGAGGGACTGTAACCAACACCCGGATAGCTGATAGTTTAGTTCTAGGTCGGCGGCGTCGAGGACCCGCAGTATGAGGTTAATTTTTGTATATTTTATATAGTCCTAATTTAGTTTTGCTTATAGTACATTCCATATACTTTAATTTATTTAAGCGGGTACCACCACCGCGCCTATTTCAGCCGTGAAGCAGTAACGCGTTTCGGCTTGAAGGGTGGGGCAGCCGTTGTAACTATACTGAGACCTTACAATTAGTTATATCTCAAGGTGGGTGGCGCAATTACGTTGTAAATGTTTATGAGCTCCAGTAATCACTTAACACCAGGTGGGCTGTGAGCTCGTCCACGCATCTAAGCAATAAAAAAATAAGAAAATAGGTCAAGATGATTGTATAAATACTTTAGCATATTTCTGATTGATTCGTATTCTAACCGTCCTAACGTGTTATTAAAAGAGAATAAATTATATCGTGCGGATGTAAAGTTGTCGCCGCCCTGATAATCCTTTAACAATTTATTCCCATTGTTGATGTATTATGTGTATGTAAGTATATTAGTATGTATTGTATGTATATATTTTCTATAATAATGTATTATCAATAGTACACCGCAACATACCTGCTATATTTTTGTATTTTCCAGAATTTCTGTAAATTAAACGGTTGTCTGGAAGAGATCGCTTTTAGCGATAAGACCGCCTATTGTACAAATGTATCGTGATTGTTTTTCGAATGTAAATTGTGTTTTGGTGTGCAATAAAGTGTATTCTCTCTCTCTCTCTCTCTCTCTCTCCCACCATAAAACAAATAGATACAAAGAAACAAAACAAATAAAATAAAAATCTTGAACCTTCGAAAGTGTTACCGGCTCATATCGACTCCACACACCAGCATCAGCACCAGCCAATCATTCTTTCAAATTCAAATTCAAAATCATTTATTTCAACTTAGATGTCAGTATGACACACTTGTTGAATGTCAAAATACAAATAACAATGTTAACTCTACCAGCGGTTCCAAAAAAAGCCACAGTCCTGAGAAGAACCGGCGAAACAAACTCAGCGGGCTTTTTTTTTGTTTTTTCTCAAATATTTACTTCTTTTTTTAATAAATAAAAATATAACAAGTCAAAAAATACAATTAAATAAAAAATAACAAAATAACAGGTCAAAAATAATAATAATAATAATCAGTTTAATAACAGTTCATTTTCCTTCCAACAAAATACGATAAACGAAAAACAAGTATAACAAACAATGTTAAAATAAATAAAATAAAATAAATTATAATTCATCTTTAACGTAGAAATCAGACAGGGAATAATAAATGGGTCTCGATAACATTCTTGTAGTATTCCGCTGATTTCCTCGGAGTGCGCGTTCGCTCTGGACTCGAAAAGTCCACTTCATACAGGCCAAACTTTATCCTGCAATAAAATTATTATCTATCTATCCATTATATAAAAATGAATTGCTGTTCGTTAGTCTCGCTAAAACTCGAGAACGGCTGGACCGATTTGGCTAATTTTAGTCTTGAATTATTTGTGACAGTCCAGAGAAGGTTTAAAAGGTAAATAAGTATGTAAAATGTTCGGAATTTTATAAAAATGACAATTTTGTTTTCCCTTTGATGTGTCCCCCGTCGGACGGATTCCTTTTGTTTGTTTTAAGTTTGAATTATACAAAAGTTTAGGTCTTTTATTTATCGATTGAGGCACTACGAAGTCTGCCACCCAGCAGCTAGTACAAATAAAGATATTTATACAGTTATACGATAACGGTATCTAAACGCTGAGTTTTTCGCCGGATCTTCTCAGTGGGTCGCGTTTCCGATCCGGTGGTAGATTCTACGAAGCACGGCTCTTGCTAGGGTTAGTGTTAGCAACGCCGTCAGGCTTGAGCCGCGTGAGCTCACCTACGAATTCGGTTAATCTGGAATAACCCCTCGAAGTTAGTAGAATAGGTGGGAAAAAAAACCTAAGTATAGCAGCTACATAGTCAGTTGTAGTTACGCTATACCTTTAAGAGTGAAAATAAAATAAAAATGTTAAAACATAAGAACTCCGGTTATTTATTTATCGTATGGCATTCGTTTACACTGCGTGGTTATAATTTAAATTTACAGTTTGTGAAATAATCGATAGCCTCTTTTGTTACATTTTTGAGATCTTCCACTTGGCCTGCGAATTTCGTTAGTGGGCATTCCATGACAATGTGGCGTATAGTTTGCTCTGGGCATCCGCATTCACAGCTTTCCGGTAAAACAGTTAATCTAAACAACCGTGGCATAGCTAAAAGACGTAATAATTCAACTTAAAGAGCCCACAGACGTCCAGTACTGAACATGCTATAAGATCCTACTCCACTCCTATTAGATCCCTGTATTGACCAGTATGAACCCTTTGATCGTGTTGTTAGTACCGCATCGTGGCAAAACTAGACAGAATGGTGTCATTTATAGTCGTATTTTTTATTAGACGAAGTCAACTGACGTTTACTGTGCTGTTTATTTTATTTATAAATAAATAAATTATTTATTTATTACACTTCATGTAAAATTTTCATTGGCGGACTTAATGCCTAAGGCATTCTCTACCAGTAAACCAAAGGTAGTGCAGAATAAATAGTGGTAGGTGCAATGAAATTTATATTAAATTAGGAATATATACACAAAAAAGTAAATATATACACAATCACAAACACATATACATACACACACACACACACGAATACATACATACATATAATAGTTTATACAGTATTAAAAGGAATATATGAATATATTTCCTTAGCAAATACATTCATCTTAATAAGTTCATGACGATTCCGCTAACTTTTCCAACAGCATTTGCCGAACCCTTAACTTGAACGTGCAGCGGTTAGTAATAGTCCTGACGCATTCCATAGCAGAACAGATTGCACGACGAAAGAGTTACGAACATAACTAGAACTATGTGTGGGACAACGAACTATGTGTGTTGTCAGTTTTTGATGAAATAAAAATAGTGTTGTGACAAATGAATGAATGATTGAAAAAAACTCCTGAATGAATGAAATTGCCTCGATTGTCTAATGAATAGTTAGTATGCCGATACGGGGTTAGAATTTTACTCGTGCTTTGTACATACCAACGAGTTTTCGACGATTATGTTCCTATAGTATCTACCTATACTGAATACAGAGTATTTTACTCATTAAGGAAAACATTGCGAGGAAACTTGTAAGACTGTCAAGTCACTGTAAGGCTTGTATTTTCAATACAATACAATAGTTGATGTATAAAATAATATGTGCGTATTGGTTGTTTTTGTTTTTTTGTAATTTAAATTTCTAAATTTCTCTTCTTGTTCACTGTCTACTTATATGTGATTTTGATTGTGGAAACATATTTGGTTATTGTTTTAGCTATATTTTTTTTAAATATTATATGTTTGTTTTTTGGAACGAAGTTCCTTATCGCGCGTTGTGAAAGGGGGCTAGACGGAAAAAATTCTTACGAAAAGTTGTCACGACACTTTTTAGATCCGTCATTCTGACCAATCAACGTGTAGGCGCTTATCGCGTGACATTGCTCGTATCCGATTGGTCCGCGTAATGAGTACAGTTTCTCGAGATAGCGTTTCAACAATAGNAAAAGTTGTCACGACACTTTTTAGATCCGTCATTCTGACCAATCAACGTGTAGGCGCTTATCGCGTGACATTGCTCGTATCCGATTGGTCCGCGTAATGAGTACAGTTTCTCGAGATAGCGTTTCAACAATAGTAATTTAGTTCATAGTATTGTCTTTTTCTTCTTCATAATGCCGTAATTTATTATTATATCTTAAAAAAAAAATTATAATTCCTTCACTAATTAATCGAAAGGAACTTCGTTCCATCCGGGTGTCCCTTGACACCTCTGAAGTTTTTATTGTACTGTTTCTTTCCCAAATAAATAAATAAATACATCGTGTAGTTGAAACTATAGATGTACGAGCGGCCCGCCCTCGCTTCGCTTCGGAAACTGTAATTTATTCTCGATTTTTCCACTATTTAATGGATGTTATTATATAGGTATATATAGGTATAAACCTTCCTCTTCAATCACTCTATCAATTAAAAAAAAACGCATCAAAATCCGTTGCGTAGTTTTAAAGATTTAAGCATACATAGGAACAGACAGATATAGGGGCAGAGAAAGCGACTTTATTTTATACTATGTAGTGATAAAATATAACAATTATAGGTACATAGGTAATGAATATAAAAAACTGATTGTAGTTGCATAATACTAGTAACTTATATCAGAGCTCTTTAATACAATCTTATTGTAAAATAGAAATAATATGATTTTATAGTTTGAAATGATTAACTGTTCACACTCATTGTCCATTCATCAAGAACGAGAACTGAACTCATCACTATCTTATACCTTTAAACGAGCAATTCTTGTATATTAATATATATCAAGTGGCATTGGATTGGTCACACTTTGAGAAAGCCCGATACCCACCTATCAAAGAGAGCACTGACCTGGAAAGTGTCTGGGAAAAGACAGAGAGGCTGCCCCAGAACAACTTGGCGTCGCTCGGTGGAGCAGGAGCTAGGGTCTTGGGCATGACGTGGGAGGAGCTAGAACAGACTGCCCAAGACCGATATAAATGGAAAAATTTGATTCGAGCCCTACACCCCAGCAGAGGGTAATAGGAAAGAATGATGATGATATGTTTATAATCTGAATCTCGGAAACGGCTCCAACGATTTTCATAAAATTTAGTATACAGGGGATTTCGGGGGCGATAAATCAATCTAGCTACGATTTATTTACAGAAAATGTTGTTTTATTTGTGTTTTCAATAATCAACTCTTCCCGACATCTATTGGCGAATAATAATACTATTTTTCTTAATTGAGGGCAACTAACCGCTTTAAAGACACAACAAGATGGCGTTATCAATCGCTCATCATCTAGTTACTTTAAATATAGCAACATTATTTTACAAAGTGACATTAGCTACTGTCAGTTGACTTCGTCTAATTAAAAATACGACTATACTGTGGACTTAAAATCCTCGTTAATACCACTAAACTTGCTAACTGTAGTACGGCTTTTATACGAAAAAAATCTGTAGACACAAATTTTTATTTATTACCTTCTTAGGCATACGAGCGTACGGCCCACCTGATGGTAAGTGGTTACCGTCGCCCATGGACTTCAGCAATGCCAGGAGCCGAGCCAAGCCGCTGCCTAATCAACGATTCCTGAAAATACCAAAGCTTCTTCAAGCCAAAATTTACAAGATTATTTAAGCCACCACTTACGTATAGCCGTCTGACCACTCAAAATTGTCCATTAAGGACCAAACTGTGTAACAAGTAACGTTGACTCCATCCTTCATGGCTAACAGAACCTGCTCCAAATGATCCTTCAAGTAACTGATCCTGTCAAAATCTTCCAGCCCAGTATCGGTGGTCGCGTATCCGTTTTCCATGATATATATTTCCTGATCACCGTAATTATGTCTGATCCAGTTCAGGACTTTACGAAGGCCTGGTGGATGGGCCTGAAATTTTAAAGTTACGAATTGCGAATACTGTGTACCATATGAAGACAATTGTTTTTTTTTTAAGGAATTTTGTGACCTGGTAACTAAGGCCTTTAATTCATGTCTTATTTTAATTTATATTCTTATTTTTATGAAAAATGATAATATGGAGTGAAATGAAATGAGATCAAATGAAATGAAGATGATTAATTTGAGACATTAATCAACCGGGATGAAATGAAATGAAATGAGATGATATGGGATGAAATGTAATCGCAGTAAAATGGTGGTCAGTTACTGAGATTTTTTCAGTGGATTCTTTAGAGAATTCCGAGAAGTTACGTCCAGCGGCTTTGTTTCATTTTACATTTGTGCACTTTCACAGATACTAAACATTTAATAAACCACCGTTATTACATATTTAAGCCTGAAGAAACACTAAATAGACAAAATAAAACAAATCACACAACTTCACTCTTCGCGTTCCCGCCAAAAAGTCATTGACAATTGAGGGCGCTGTCTTAAAGCTAGTGTTGTGTATTGGTTGAAAGCATCAGAGCTGACGTCACACGGAGACAGACAAGATAATCAGAGCACTCTTGACGTCGGCCATTCCCATCAGCAAACTGGCTGCTATTTAGTACTTTACCACGGAATTGTTAAACAGCTGGCGCATGGTTCAAGCCTCAGTGGCATCAAGTATGCGATTTAGACAAATATAGCAGTAAAAATCAACACATCACTATCACACTATCCCTCTATTATAATTATTTCCCTGCTCTCATGAGCGTGAAAGCACACGTCCGTAAGAATATTCTAGAAAGTGTTACTACAGAAGGAGTATTCTTGTTAGAGATAAAATTTCAAAAGAGACTAGACGTTCCACTGGAGACGTGGAGCTAAATATTGATTGTTAAGCTACGTAAAAACAAATGTATTTTACTGAAAACCACTTCGTAGCTCCATTCGTCCAAGTGGGTGGACTCTCCAAAATGGCTCCCAATATCGGTACTCCCACAGGCCACAACGGTATATGTTCGTTAACCAGAGGCTTCCTTATTGACTTTGAAATGTAGTAATTCATTCCGAAGAAGTCGTAAGTACCTAGAAAATAGATAATTTGATTGATTAAAAACATAAAATCTCGGGAGTAATAAATTAATTAGAACCATAAATCTTACCTTTTATAAATTCGATTTCTTCTTTAGTAAACTCAGGGAGAAGAGAGTAAGGGTATCCCAACATTTTGCTTCTTTCGTCCACTATTTTTATAACAGACTGTGGCCAGTTACCGGTTTTCGAGAAAATCGGATACGTATATATTCCATTCTGAGAAATATTCACAATGTTTTATTTCTATTCGTTGGGCGTATTATGAGCACGTTTGCATTTTTAATTGCATAAACGGGCTTATGAGCTCACGGCTGACCTGGTCTTGAGTGGTTACCAGAGCCCATGGATATCACAACGTAAATGTCGCCACCCACCTTGAGACTATAATCTCAGTTATAACGAATGTACAGCCCTTAAAGTCGGAGCTCTTCGTTGTAGCAGAAGACAGGGTAGAGGTTGCATTTTTTGCCTACGTATTGCCAGTAGCCTCGGGGGGTTATGTTAGCTTCACCAGACTTATAGGCGAGCCCATGGGGCTCAGCCTGAGGCTTGGATAACATAGACCCTAGCAAGTGCCGGTAGGCAGCGGCTTGTCCCAGCTTTGGCTTTGCTCCTGGCATTGCTGAAGTCCATGGGCGACGGTAACCACTCACCATCAGGTGGGACGTATGCTCATTTGCCTACACGGGCAATAAAAAAAAGAACCAGAGTGGCGGTATCTAAGTGTTCTTGTTCATCACATAATCCGACAAACTTAGAAGTGCTTTAGGACCACACATAGCTCAGGCTACGTAGTTTCTTTTCACACCTTAGCTTACAAAATGTAGTTAAATTAACAACAAAAAAATCGACTATAGTCGGTTGTTGAACAGTGAACCAACCAGGAACATTGAACCACTACCATGTTGAAAAAAAATGTGTGTGTGATGTAAACTTCTAACTTGAAACTACCAGTCATAAGTTGATGTCATTTTCAATCTGTTTTATTAGTTACTTTATTTGTCAATGTATCAAATGTAACTAAAACAAATTTTACTGTTAATTGTAGCTTATTAAAACCTTATATTCAGTAAAGGTTTTCTCTTATTACAATTTAATTAGCTAAATAAATAAAAAAAATGGATAGATATCTTCGCCCTGAGAGGTTTGATATCGACCCGTCAGATAGCTCTGGTACGAGAGCTTGGATACATTGGCGTAAAACTTTCGAAACATCATTTTCGTTCTTACTGGTGGTAGGACCTTTTGTGAGTCCGCGCGGGTGGGTACCACCACCCTACCTATTTCTGCCGTGAAGCAGTAATGCGTTTTGGTTTAAATGGTGGGGCAGCCGTTGTAACTATACTTGAGATATTAGAACTTATATCTCAAGGTGGGTGGCGCATTTACGTTGTGGATATCTATGGACTCCAGTAACCACTACCACTCCAGTAACCACACCAAGCAATAAAAAAAAAAAAGAAACCGACCGCTCCAGAAACAGATGCACAGTCGGCTCCCCCGCCAAAAAAATGGGACAGCATAAAGTTTCAACTTTTGGTAAACTTTGAAAGTATTGACACATATTTACAAGCTTTGAAACTACTTTCTAAAGATTGTGACTTTGTGGCTGTTGATGCAGAAACAAACCAAAATGATAGCGTACGTGATGCTTTCATATTCGGTATATCTATTAGAGTCGATAAATATAGAAACTCCTTATCAAAAAGAAAACATATCCATAGAAAGCAGTGACAAGAGGTGTCAAGAACAAGTGAAAAATGTCTGTCACTTCGTGAAGTAAAATAAAATAACATAACTGTGATTTTGATAATAAATTCTAAAACATCGACGTAGCTAATACTAATTTATAAAAGTGTGTTAGTATATTATTTCGTAACCGCCTGCACTCTGCGATTTAAAGATTGAACTCTGTGCTACCAAGAATTTTAAATCATATCAATATCATCGCGTAAAATCAGACAAAGGCTTTTAGAAAACTTAACTCGTACACTTGATTAAGCTTACAACCAAGCACTCTCTATAGAAACTGCAGAGATCAACTCTCAAAGCTTCAATACTGTGTCTTTAAATGCTGCTGCTCCAAAAGAACCAACATTAGTCTCTTCGAAATCATAAACTCTGCATGACGAAACCTGCTCTTCTGTTAATAATCCTCGACAACAAAAATGTTTTTTTTTGTTGGGGTCAAATACATCCTCGTAAGAACTGCCCTGCCCTCGTTTGAAAATACTTGTCAGCTCTGCAACAAGAAGGGGCACTTTGCCACTGTTTGTATGTTCGCACATTATTCTAAGTGGGTTCCAAATTTTTCTGAACGGATCCACTCACTTGCTAATGCGACGATTTTTCCCCTCACAAGCGAGCAAATTAAATGTTTCGAAGGCCTAAAAAGTGATATCGCAAAGTCTTCTATACATGCAATCTATATATTAATACGTGAAGCAAAAACTTTGTATCCCTTTTTACGAAAATTGCGCGAACGGAGGAGTATGAAATTTTCCACACTTATAGAGAATATAGAAAAGAAGTGCACAATGCTAATATTTTTTTTAAATAATGCATAAAAGATACATTGAATCAATAAAGAAAACATTACACACATTACATACCATTTATTTGACGCACACACGCATGCATACTATTTAATGTCAAACTTTTGTTCTTGACGTCTGTTGTCAAATTGAGAATAGATTAAATATTGTTTGCCTTTGTTAATATTTTTTATAGTGTAGTCTTGGCGAAATCTGTGATTGTAGAAGTATAAAATACAATCATAATAGTGTACAAACTTACAATTCCAATTAATTATAGTCGAATTTCGACTACTGCGGGACCTCTAGTTGATGTAAATATATTATACCTTTTAGAGTCGAAACTGACGCTTCCGATCATTCCATTGCAGCAGTACTCACGTAAAGTACAGTAAACATTTTATGGTGTCTTTTCACAAATAAGGATTTTACTGGTAACGAAATTGTGGTTCACTGTTGAAATACAGGCGGCTCAGTGTATACTACCTATAGTACACAGTGAGCCAATTTTTATTTTTTATTTTTTTTACGGTATTTATTCTATTCTCTGGCTTTCTGTAACCTGAATATGAGAAACTGTATAAAATTGCCTAAACTATGACTTCTACTTCTTCTAAGGATCGCGACCACATGCGATGTACTTCCAATGCGCCCGATCATGGGTGGCATGGACTGCATGGTACAGACTACCACCGAGTGCTTCTCTTGCTAGATCTGACCATCTGGCTGGTGTTCTGCCCACGGCGCGCTTGCCTTCTATTCGACCCGTAATTATGAGCTTCTCTAATTCATGTCTGGGAGACCGCATGATGTGTCCGAAGAAGCTCATAACACGTTCCCGGCAGATGGAAGAGGGCCTTTTTCGGATGTCTAGCTGCCTTAGAATGGACTCGTTTGTTCGCATGGCAGTCCATGGTATTCGCAGCATCCTCCGCCACACCCACATTTACTATGACACCAAAACGAAATTCTTAACTTTAATTCCTAACAAGTTATATGACTTAGAAAAAGGCTGGTTCACTATTCAACAACGCACCCTACTTACACACAACTGGTTCGCCAAGTCAGCAAGGTCACGATCGTTGTCCGTAGTTGGTTCATACCATATCAAAACGTTCGTCAAGGAAACCTTACCTGAAATTATAATTAAAAATATGGGACAGAATCACAAGGGAATCCAAATCCAAACTAGGATTCTCTGATACCTTCCCACGTTTCAATAAATATATAAATAGGTATTGCGCACTAGACAAAGGCCAGGCAGTCATTTGGCTAAACAATGAATTCTCAAAATTAGGGGCATTTTATTACTGGTGGTAGGACCTCTTATGAGTCCGCACGGGTAGGTACCACCACCCTGCCTATTTCTGCCGTGAAGCAGTAATGCGTTTCGGTTTGAAGCGTGGGGCAGCCGTTGTAACTATACTTGAGACCTTAGAACTTATATCTCAAGGTGGGTGGCGCATTTACGTTGTAGATGTCCATGGGCTCCAGTGACCACTTAACACCAGGTGGGCTGTGAGCTCGTCCACCCATCTAAGCAATTAAAAAAAAAAATTAAATTGTAACTGGCTCTAAGTGTAAATGAATCGACCATTTCGAAGTCAAGACTTCATGAAATATTCGGTTTTGAGTGGACATCATCAAGAAAAAGACGAAATGATAAAGAACCCATCAGTGGAGCCTAAAAATTAGATCTGACGTTATGGTTCTGCTACTAATAATTGGAGTTTAAAAACCATATTGAGTAGAAAAACAATTCGTTAAGAGCAATATATGTTTCGGCAAAGACAAAACCACCAAGAGTACAATTCCACTTTATCCTTTCAAAGATTGAACTATCCACGGTCCATTTTCAACAAAAATCCAGCTCAATTTTTTTTACTTAAACGGATAGACCCAATTCACGCCTCATCTGGTTAAAAGCGGTCCATAGGCATCACGACGTGAATGTACATACAGGATGATGTTACAAGCCCATCTCACATGTGGAATTAGAATACGCGAGACAACTCGAAGGCACGCAATTTGAGGGTTTCATTTTATCATTTAGTTTCTTGCAAAATTAGCAAAGAATTTAAAACATGCGGTCACTACACGTCTTACCTATTAGGCTATTAATGCAACCCTCGGAGAAAACCCCGTGGAATGATGTGCAAGAAACACGAGAGGCTTGTTATACCTGATAACCTTAGCCTAACCTAAATGACTTACCACGATACTTCGGTCTGAACTCCTCATCATAAATCCTCCAAGCTGTGGCATGAGCTAACAAAACATTCTTGGCACACAAATATTTTCCTAAGTCAACGGATTTGATTCCAGGGGCCATTTTACTATCGCTGTACGACACCTCACAAATTAGTAGGGGCTCATTAATAGTTATCCAGGTCTTCACTCGGTCTCCATAAAGAGAAAATACCACCCTTGCGTAGTTGGCGAACCAATCGATTATTAAAGGGTTTGCCCAGCCGCCTGTCCGAAATAAAAGTTAATATTTAGTGTACACATTTTCGGCTTTGTTCCGAAGAGTTCATGTGAATCGACCTGCCCGTTCTTCGTCTAAAAATAAACATAACGGAACGCATTACTGGTGGTACTTATCAGTGCAGACTCGTAAGACATCCCACTACCAGTAAACTAATTATTTTTTGGGGGAAAAAACTGTTGGAAAGTCTTTCACATAACGGTTGTAACACGGTAAGGAGGCAGTCCAATTGTTGTTTGGAATTCGGTTATATAAAACTTATTTTGTAGCTGTCATGCGATTCAGGTTTTTTGTCAAACATCTTCGATTTCGTGATAACCACCACAACTTAACCAGCAAACAGCGTCAAATTCATCGAATGCTACTAAAGTTCTTAAAACGCCATTATTATTACTCAGTACCATTACCACTCGCTATCTTCAGCCCTGTTTTGACTACAATCACACACAGAAACCTTACTCAGCTAAATCACCTCAGTTGTTTTTTGGTATTTCGTGGGTAAATCCCTTTTCTCCACAAATAAGGCAACTAGATCGCACCTCATCGTATATTACAGAGACTCCACGTGTGGCAGAATTAATATGAAATGATTTTAATATGACAGACAGCGCTTACCCAGATCCTGTAATTTTTGAGGCAAATCCAATTGAAACAGAGTCACCGATGGCTCTATACCCTCTTCCAGGAGAGCATCGATCAACTGATTGTAATAATTCCTCCCGTCGTCGCTGATTTTGTTTGAAAAAGCAGTCGGTAATAGACGAGGCCACGAGATCGAAAATCTGCGACAAGCGTAATTATGCGTACCGATTTTATTTGATTGCACAATGTAGCGCTTTCGTATTTCAGTTTCAAATTACTCGTGGACAGGTTTTAAGTTACTAAGTCTGCAAAGCCAGGTGGTGGCACATCGTAAGCGTCGACTGAAATTATTATTTTTTAATTATTCAGACACTACAAACGCTTCCATGTAGAACGCCTCGTTGTACAGGGAAGCGTTGATGGTACAAGACCGCGCGGGAGGCCACCAATGCGGTGGACCGACCAAATTAAAACTGCAGTGGGAGGTCCCCTGAATGTGTGCAGTGGAATGGCCTCGAGCAGGGAGAGATGGCGCGACATCGTGAGACGCATTAAGTCTGCCCCTTCCAACACTACATGACGATCACGACCACTCTGTCAAGAGTGATACGACTGAGAAGAAGAAGAAGAAGACAGTACAAAAATAATCAGCGACTGTCGTCCGGCCGTATTCACGAAAACCGTGAAGTTTGCATGAGGTCAAAATCTCAGTTTGGTATTTTTTTATCGCTTGGGTGGGTGGACGAACGCCCTACCTAGTGTCGAGTGGTAATCAAGGTCCATAGACATCAACAACGTAAATGCCACCACGCACCTTGAAACATCAGTTCTAAGTCTTACAGTTGTCTCGCCCTTCAGACCCAAACGCATTACTGCTTCACGGCAGTCATAAGTAGGCTGGTGGTACCTACCCTTATGGACGCAGAATACGCTGTACCGCCAGGAAAACCATAAATTCTTCATTTGCCAGCGTAAGTCAAAAAAAACCAACCATACCTATAGAAGTGTAAGTTCAACTCCTTTGCAATTCGTACATCATCCTTCCACCTGTTGTAGGAGTCGCAGGCGATATCGCCATTGCTTCCAGAGTCCACATAATATTTATGTTCATGTGTAAACCTATCCCATACGCTCTCGGCTTTATCTGAAGAAAAACAAAACACAGAACCTTATCTGATACGATAGCAAAAGCAAAATTGACAGCGGAAACATGTGAGGGTAATTGTGGGTGTGATTTGTTTTTTTATTGCTTAGATGGGTGGACGAGCTCACAGCCCACCTGGTGTTATAAGTGGTTACTGGAGCCCATAGACATCTACAACGTAAATGCGCCACTCACCTTGTGATATACGTTCTAAGGTCTCAAGTGTAGTTACAACGGCTGCCCCACCCTTCAAACCGAAACGCATTACTGCTTCACGGCAGAAATAGGCAGGGTGGTGGTACCTACCCACGCGGACTCACAAGAGGTCCTACCACCAGTAATTACGCAAATTATAATTTTGCGGGTTTGATTTTTATTACACGATGTTATTCCTTCACCGTGGAAGTCAATCGTGAACATTTGTTGAGTACGTATTTCATTAAAAAAATTGGAACCCGCCTGTGGGATTCGAACACCGGTGCATCGCTCAACACGAATGCACCGGACGTCTTATCCTTTAGGCCACGACGACTTTTAACTGAATGTGCGTCATCTGATTTATCTCAGTGACGTCATCGATAACAAGACAAATTTACGTACCACTCACGTTCCAGGAGCCTTCGATCTGATAAGCAGCGGTTGCAGCCCCGAATCTGAAGTCAGGTGGAAATTTCATCTCGCCCCAAGCCGCTTTCGTCAGCAAGCTGCATCATATGATGTTGGTTAGAGAATCGTAGCGTATACTGTAATAAGTTGCTTGTGAAGAACTTCGGACTAGGTCATAATGGACAGAAAAATCTATATCTGAGAAGAGATGATGATTTTTAATTAATACCAGTCGAGGATTCACAACCCATCCGATCCAGTCATTGTCCTTCATCACTTCGATATACCGACCATACTCCTCTATTCTGATTTATTTAATTCAAACAAAAATTTTCAAATAAATTATACTAAAAATTTATGTACCACAAAACAACCGTTGCTTGTACCGTCATTGTGATAAATAGCATTTTTGAACAATGTTGTCTTCTGTTACAAAGTAATAAACGCGGCACTAATATTAGCGTGTGGCTTCATTGTAATTCAAAGCATATTTATTTTTCAATTTATAATTAAATTATTTTATAGCCATCGTTAGAGCTGTTTTCTTGTTTAGCGTCGCTAGTTCCATTGCTGTTTTATCTGTTTCCTGCTAAAAGATTTCTTTATTGCTTATATGGGTGAAGGAGCTAACGGTCCACCTGTTGTTTAGTGGTTACTGGAGCTTATATACATTTACAACGTAAAACCGCCACCCACCTCGAAACATGAGTTTTAAGTTTTCAGTTTTTTTCACTAGAACGGCTGCCCCACCCTTCAAACCGAAATGCATTACTACTTCACGGCAGAAATAATCAGGGCGGTGGTACCGACCCGTGCGGACCCACAAGACGTCTTACCCCCAGTTATTGGCTATATTACGCTATTGTCTTAGGAAAAAAGATTCTTTTTTATTATTAGATAGACGAAGATACTATATTTACATACTCAATTTCGTAATATCATATATGTAGACAGCTGTTTCGCTGCCACAGGCAAATGTTTTTTTAAATATTAAACCACAAGATTTAAATCACGCTTTAATAATAATCACGAAACGGATAAAAGAGAGGTTATTTACTTAAGCTGAAATAGTCTCTCAAGGCTATCAGCATAGGTAGGATTAAATATACCTAGTCAGGTCATAAATTCTGTCACATGTTTAATGTAAAATAATTGAAACAAGTTTATTCATTATGTAACCATTCATATACCAAAATGAACTTAACAAAACATAGATTCTTATGACACTAAAGTTTATTCAAAATGACCTCCGTGATTTTGAATACAGGCCTTCAATCTGCGCGGCCAGTCGTCTATC